TGTTATTCCCATTGTTACTGGGGTTATCATTGCCAGCCAGGCTGAACTGAATTTTTATCTATTTTGGGTTTTATCATGTGCGTTTCATCCCCAGCAGCAAGAATTCCACAAATATCTTTCTGTACATGGATCCTATAGCTGAAGTATTTCTACTTTCTACAATTCTCATTACAGAAGAAAACGTGATCAATATTACACTTGCCCTTGCCCAGGATGATATCGAGATCAATTAATGTCTCCTATTCAATTCAACACCAGCACATTTTGTGAATTTGACCAACTTTTTGGTCATACTAACATCACACTTGAATCCCCACGGAGTTTTGTTCTCAAATGGTCTTGTGACATCATACAAAAATTCTGAACACCATGCAAAGAGCTTCAATGATTGAGAAATCTTGGCAGAAGCCACAAGAAATGAAGAATGTTTGTCAAATACTTTACAAACATCTGAGCAGAAACCACATGAGATGATGAATGTGTTGTCAAATGTTTTACGAACCAGTTATTCTGGTACTGAACCAATGTTGCAATCATATGGTATTTCCATTTATGGATCCAAGATAAAGTTTGTCTTCTTCAACCTCAAGGTCAGAAGTGAGATATGATGAAGATTTCTTTCCATAGAAGGGAAGCAGAAATTTTAACAACAAGAAACTAGTGGAGCCAACTAATGTTGAACGACAGGTTGTTGTTAAACATGTCGACATGATATGGTCCAAGTTGCCTTATTCGAGATATGATTAGATGTGAAGACATGAAAAGAATTAGGATAAATCCTCCTTGTGATGTGTTTCAAGATTCAAATCAAAACAGACTCTACTTTCCTAATTAATCCCTGCTGAGTCAGACATATCTACATCTACATTCTTCAAAGATGATAGATTCTCTCTTCAAAGATGATAGATTCTCTTTTCAAAGATGATAGATTCTCTCTTCAAAGATGATAGATTCTCTTTTTAAAGATGATAGATTCTCTTTCAAAGATGAAAGCTTTATTGAATTTCTACACAAGTCCCAACAAAGAAAGCTGGTTTTATCCAAGACAAAATGGGGCATCAAAGTCATAGTTATGACTACAGCAAGAGTTCCACAAATGAAACATTTCTTATGAGACTTAAATGAAGCAAAGAAGACACCAAGATACAGATTGATCAGATGATTCTGCAGAAATGAAAGCTTGATAGCATAAGTTGCTACATTTCAGAGGTAATCCTGGCAATAAATGATGAAGTGAAAGAAGACCAAGTTCACAAATTTGAAATCAAATAAAAATGAACTTAATATTCATGCATCATATTTAGGCATTTACAAAAAATAGGTGCATTTACATTCATTTTATCCATGTTGAATTTTGACAGGAATTTCAAAGATTTTAGCAAAGATTTAAATCCATCATTCAATGGATCAACATTTTCAGTTAGAGTTCATAATGAGAAGAACTCATCTGAAGAAGAAGAAGAAGTTCATAATGAGAAGAACTTGTTCAACTTTTTGCTTAAATTCATCCCTCGGTGGATCAATATTTTCAGTTAGAGTTCATAATGAGAAGAACTCATCTGAAGAAGAAGAAGACGAAGTTCATAATGAGAAGAACTTGTTCAACTTTTTGCTTAAATTCATCACTCGGTGGATCAACAGTGCCAGTTAGAGTTCATAATGAAAAGAACTCATCTGAAAAAGAAGAAGAAGTTCATAATGAGAAGAACTTGTTCAACCTTTTGCTTAAATTCATCACTTGATGGATCAACTTTTCTAGAGAAAGTTCATAATGATAAGAACTCATCTGAAGAAGAAGAAGAAGTTCATAATGAGAAGAACTTGTTCAACTTTTTGCTTAAATTCATCCCTCAGTGGATCAGCAATGCCAATTAGAGTTCATAATGAGAAGAACTCATCTGAAGAAGAAGAAGAAGTTCATAATGAGAAGAACTTGTTCAACTTTTTGCTTAAATTCATCCCTCGGTGGATCAGCAGTGCCAGTTAGAGTTCATAATAAGAAGAACTCATCTGAAGAAGAAGAAGAAGTTCATAATGAGAAGAACTTGTTCAACTTTTTGCTTAAATTCATCACTCGGTGGATCAGCAGTGCCAGTTAGAGTTCATAATGAAAAGAACTCATCTGAAAAAGAATAAGAAGTTCATAATGAGAAGAACTTGTTCAACCTTTTGCTTAAATTCATCACTTGATGGATCAACTTTTCTAGAGAAAGTTCATAATGAGAAGAACTCATATGAAGAAGGAAGAAGAAGTTCATAATGAGAAGAGCTTGTTCAACCTTTGTTTGATTCTATCACAGAATGAGATAGATCAGTATCAGTATTTCCATAAAAAGTTCATAATAAGAAGAACTCATCTGAAGAAGGAAGAGAATTTGTTCAACTTTTTGCTATATTACATCACAGAAGAAGATAAATTGTCATCCCCAGCGAAAAAGTTCATAATGAGAAGAACTTATCTGAAGAAGAAGAAGTTCGTAATGAGAAGAACTTATTCAACACTTTGCATGACTCTATCACAGAAGGAGATAGATCAGCACCAACATTGCCAGAATGAGATAAATTGTCAATCCCAGTGGAAGAATTCATAATGAGAAGAATTCGTCCTAAGTGAGCAAAAAGTTCATAAGGAGAAGAACTTATAGCTCAGAAGTTTAAACATTTCAAGCTAAAAATGGTGTTTTATGTCTTTGCTCCATTCCTGTTCCACAACAACGAGCAAAGAGGGGCAGCTGTAATCACCATTTTTACCTCTCCATTCCAGCATCTCCACGTTGCATTTCCAACAGCTGCAGCAGCCCCTCCACACAGCATTTCCAGTAGCTTCCAGCGTCAGCTGCCCCTCCACGTTGCAGCTACAAACAGCCTCCAGCATGCCGGGACAGCAGCCCCTCCACGTCCCAGTTCCAGTGGCTTCCATCACTTCCTTTGGCCAGTGACTCACCGAAGCTTTCCCCTTTGGACTGGTCCAAGACAAGCACTGGAGGTGGCTATAAAAGCCACCACACCTGCGAGACAGAGAAGGAGGAACAGACAGAGGACAGAAAAAAAAACGACAGGGAGAGATACGAACAACAACTAACAACCAGAACAAAAAAAGACCAGCAACACAAAGAGAGGACCACGACAGAAAACAAAGAAAAGAGAGAGAAATGAGCAAGAACAGCCATCGAGAGCAACACAAAACAGAGCGAGAACGAGGGACTTACCACAGAGGAGAGCCCAATCGTCGCCGGAGACATTTTCAATCGAGGTAAAAGCTTCGGTTTTCCTAGATCTACAAAAATCTGAGGAATTTTAGGGGAAACGGGAGTCAGATTTAGTTTTAGATCGCTTGGATCTATCGTGTGGTGTATTTTGAATTTTTCCGGCCACCATTAGTAGTGGCCGGCGGCCGTGATCGGCACTGGAGACGGTGGCCGGCCGGAGCTCGACGAGAGCCCTTTTCAGAGAAATTTTTTTTCTCTTAGAATGAGAAAAGAGAGGAATGATATCAAATGGCCAAAATGGCCGGTTTTAAGGGTATATAAATCCCTCCCCAAACGACGCCGTTTTGGGGAGGGTATCTGTGTAATTTCACTTTCGGGAAAATCATTTCTGCAGTCACTCCAGGTCTGTAACTTTTCATTTTAGTCCCTGGAATTAAATTCTGAACGTTTTTAATTTGGTCTCCGAATTTTATTTTAGTCCATGACCTAATTATAAATATTTAGGGTAAATAACCGATTCAATCCCTCATTATTTTATTAATTTATATTTATCCCTGAATAATTAATTAGGGTAAATTACTCTGTAATCCTCGTATTCCATATCATTTCAAATTAGGTCCTTTAATATTAATATTTTATATTTTAGTCACCCATTTTAATACTTATCATTTACTTTATTTGTAAGTTTATTACCTTTTTATATTTTACTATTATAGTTTTAATTTTATTTTAATCACTATTTATTTATATTTTAATTCAATTTATTATTTTAATTTTATATGTTTATTTGAAATATATTTAATTATTATTGTTAAGTATTATTATTTAATTCATATAAATATATATTAAGTAATATTTATTTATTTATTTATTTTTATATATATTAAATAAATATCTTACATTTATAAATTATATATTAATCTATTTATTATTATTATTTTTATAAAAATGTTTTTATATTTATTCATTTTCAATATCGAAGAGAATAGATGTCTTAAGGCACCTAGAAGCACTTTTCTGATATTTTCAAATAAATAAATATCTTATTATATTAAAATAAATTTTTATTTTTTTAAGAAAATGTTTTAGTTATTTACTTATTTTTTAATATCAAAGAAAAGAGCTGTCTTAAAGTACCTAGAAGCCCTTTTCTGATATTTCTAAATAAGTAAATATCTTATTTTTATAAATTATATATCTATTTATTATTATTATTTTTAGAAAAATGTTTTTATATTTATTCATTTTTCAATATCGAAGAAAAGAGCTGTCTTAAGGCACCTAGAAGTCATTTTCTGATATTTCTAAATAAATAAATATCTTATTTATATATGTATATTAATATATTTTCTTAAAATTATTTGAAATAACAGAATTATGAGTTAAATATATTTTGAATTTTTAAATTTCTAATAATAGAGACAATTTATAATTAAAAAGTACCAATTTTGGGCGTTGTAGGGGTGCTAATCCTTCCCTAAACGTAACCGACCACGAATCCCTTTTTATCATTAAAAAGAATGAATTTTTGGTTATAAACGCAGATCAGTTCATCTTTTAACTGATGTTTTCTTAAAACTATTTTAAAAGATAATTTTTAGGTATTCGACCTACCTAACCCAAAAGGCCAATGGCGACTCCCAAATTATTTTAAAAACCATTTATTCACATCACTTTTTCCGCCAAGTATTTAAAATTTCGTGCCCGGACGAAAACCGGTTACGACAACGCCCATATCTAAAGAAAGGATCGTGGACTGTTGACGAAGACCAGAAGCTGATTGCTCATACAATGAGATATGTCATTTGGAACTGGAATCAAATGCCCAAATTTGCTGGTATGATGATTTTTTTTAATAGTTTGGGTGATTATAAGGTAATATTTGTTTAAATATTTTCTTAGTTATTGATATCGTGTATATTGCAGTTACTCAAATTTAAGACATGTAGTAAAGCCAATATTTCTACCACTTAGGTTATTCAATGATAACATGCAGCTTATTTTGATTTTTTAGGGTTGCAAAGATCGGAAGAGCTGCAGACTTCGTTGGATGAATTACTTGAGACCCAATATAAGGCGAGGAAACTTCACCAGGGAAGAAGAGGAAACCATAATCCAACTGCAAAAGAAGCTGGGGAATCGATGGTCAGCTATAGCAGCAAGGCTTCCTCAAAGAACAGACAACTATATTAAAAACTACTGGAACACTCCCTTGAAGAAAAGATCAGTAATATCGGAGAACAACAACTCAGTATCGGCAACTTCAGAAAACAGTTCCAGCGTTGAGGAGAATTCGTGTGATCACCAGGGAAGAAGAGGAAACCATAATCCAACTGCAAAAGAAGCTGGGGAATCGATGGTCAGCTATAGCAGCAAGGCTTCCTCAAAGAACAGACAACTATATTAAAAACTACTGGAACACTCCCTTGAAGAAAAGATCAGTAATATCGGAGAACAACAACTCAGTATCGGCAACTTCAGAAAACAGTTCCAGCGTTGAGGAGAATTCGTGTGACGCTGAGTTCTCGAACTTGCTGAATACTCATGCAATGGACAAGTTCCCAGAACCATTCTCCTACTGTGCTACTTTCTCTTCATCAGGCTGCCACCAATCTGTTGAAGTTGACGACACTTATATTTCATCTGAAAACTATTGGGGAATACAGAGTTTTGTGGAGCAGCCACTGATGACAGAAGGTTTCGATTGTGAAGCATTGTGGCACAGTCACCCTCAACACTACTATGATTATCTGGACGATTTCTTGGTCAATCCATTAGTTTGTTAATAGTACTGCATAAACTAAAGTTTCTTATTTATTTGGGCAAACTAGTACACATGTCACTAGACTTTAGAGTTTGTATTAACTTTACCAATAAATTTTAAAACATTAAGTTTTGATTTTTTGCTTCAATATAAGTATTGGGTTGTTAAATCGTTTATGTTGTGATGAAATGGGCAGGGGACGGAGCCACAGTTAAATATTGACAGGGGCCGAAAATTTGAATTTTTTAAAGAAAAATACAATGACTTATTAAGTATTTAAACTTACGATGACCTAAATTGTTATTAAATCAAAAAATTTGAAAATATGAGATTATCCTCCTTTGGTTATGCCCTTACTTGATTAAATATTTAATAAATTCTTATATATTTTTTAATTTGAATATTTATTTTTACATGAACCAAAATACTATTAGATCAAAATCTATCGAATATATAATTTTTTTACAAGGGCAGGGCCCCAATAGAGCTCCATCCATGGATATGGCCATTTTCCCATGAACATTAATTTGTGTATTGATTTTGTCACTAAAATTTAAAACACTTCATATTTAGGCATTAAACTTTAATTTTCATATCATTTTGGTCCTTAAATACAATCATCATTTCCTACTGTCACTGTTGTCGGTTAATCGTCACCCATCATTGGTCATGGTTCGTGACAAGATCGATATTAAGAAATTCACACCTCATTTTCCTTTCTTCTTCATGGATTTATTTTTCATAAAACTCACTCAGAATCGTTGAAAATCTATCTAAAGGTTCAATGTTCAAATACACTAATATCCTCCAACATTCGTTAGATGAGACTAGTTTCAAAGAAGTTGTTTATCTTGAAAGAATACTTCACTGCATTTGGATTTTTGAAAAAAATACCACATTTCTATCAAATTTGAGAAAGTCATTAGACCCCAAAATAATTATTTTATGTTTACTTTTGTGAGCTTTAAAATGGTTTTAGAAAATTTTAAATGAATAAAGTGATAGAGGATGGTATGACAAGTTCATTTATGTTCAAGGTGACCATAAAAATTGTCAAAGAATGAAGATTTTTGACAATAGCTAAAAGCATGTGAAAAAATCCCTAATTTTTATGTAAAATATGATGAAGTGAATTAAAGAAAATAACTTCTACAAAGTGTCATGAACTGCGACCATGGGAGGCTAGACGGATGGGAGGCTAGACCAACTTGCACTAGTTTGCTCGCGAGGCCACAACCAACACACAACAAGCTGCTTGTGAAGACGATATCGAAACAGGGGTGCACACAACTACACACGAGACCAAGACCTGTACGCCCTAAGCTGCCCATGAGTATGGGGCCAATAAACCAACACCAACAATAGGCCCTAACAGGGCCAACCCTTTTTTAGAGAATAAGCAAATGCACCATCTTCATTGTTCAAGTAGTACGTCACCTTTAGATTCTTAATTAGAGTAGCATTGTACTCGTAGTTAGACTAGGATTAACCATAGAATGTAAAGGGGAACTTCATTATAAAAGGGTACCTCACCACCCCTATTGTATCTATGAGCTTCATTGGGAATAAAATCAGGCATTTGTGCCAAATCTTCTATTGTGTGTTTTCCCTCTTAATTTTGTTTTTATTGTGCTTGTCGCTGCAACAGAACTAGGCCACCCAGCTTAGGGTTTTAAAACTACCTTGGTGCCAAACAACCAAGCGAGGCACCTAAAGACCGCACAGACCAACCAACCAACAATCTAGCCCTGTAACAAGTTGTATCAGAGCGAGATCGTGACTAGACGAGATGTCTCCCAAACAAGGCGAGGTAGAAAAATCTGAGGGGTTGAGACCCATAACCCGAAGAAAAGAGGAACATCGAAAGATATCATCGCATCACTCCAAGGTAAGGTCATCCGACTTGAGGACTTCACGAAGGAGGCCAATGAGGTTTTGAATCATTTGGAACCCATAAACCTTGATAAGATGGATCCCTAGATCTTGAGAACCTTGAAGCCTTGGAGATGCCCTTGATGCCCAATTTGTGGCTTTAAGGTAAGAGGTCGAGGAATTAAGGAATCGAGGTTCTGAAATCAAGGTTGAAAACCTAAAGAAGGATATTGAGTAACTTAGGACCAAGGTGACCTTGTGCAAAGTTGTTGTGGCCAATAACATGCCGACCAGTGTACCGAAAGGCCAAGCTGATGTCCATAAGCCATAAAATTTTAAGGAGATCAAGTCAACATTGTTGCCCAATGTCGTTTTAATTGCCAAATAAATCTATCCTTAATATCAAATAAAAGCAATAGGAAAAGAGATTTTAGAGAGAGAAAGGGTCGATCCGCAAGGAATATTACAATTTTCGATAAATTGGTCTTCCTTTTATGCTAGTCATGAATTGCAAATAAAGTAAATAAAAGGGGGTTATTGTTGATTAACAAATATTATAAAGTAAAAATTAAAATTGAATATTTGAAATAAATTCAATTTGTAAAAATCAGCCTCGAACTTCTACTTTGCCTCAATTTCCAAATGATCCTTGAATAGGCTTTTACTCCAGTTAAATGTCGGTTTGACTCCGCAAGGTTCAACCCTTGTAGCCCACTCTTTTCTTTCATGATTAATTTTCCCAAATCTATTTTAGAAATCCCAATCCTTGTTTGGATTAACCGTGACTATTTTTGTTAATTCAAAACAATTTAAAAGTGCTTGAAAAGTCGACTCTAATTATGTTTTCTCTATGAAAGACGAACTCACTCCCAATCTTCCTTTAGCACACAATAGCTAAGTTTGCTTGAGGGAATTCGGATTAATTAATTCTATAATCATAATGATAAACCATAACAACATTCAAGCCAAAATCTATTTTCGAAATAAAGCGTTTTGGTTTAAAAAAAGACTATATGCCAATCTTGCTTTCAGAAAATTGACAAATTTAACCCATGAGGGTATAAGGTGATTTTCAATTCTCACATTAAGAATTGAGTCATTGCTTCAGCCTCTGGCTATGAAAAACTTAGACAAAAATGATAGAAATCATACTTAGCATTTTTTATAAAAAAAATAAAACTTGAAAAATAAAAGAAAGATAAATTAAACAAAGAAAAACTTTTATAAAAACTAGAGAAAAGAAAGAATATGACAATCTTGGATATGAGAGATATCTTCAAGCATACCCCTAAGGGGTTATTTATAGTTCCTAAGGTTGAATCCTAACAAAAGATAAATTTTATAATTGTTCAAATTAAATCCCCAAAATAAAGAAAATCCTGAAATTCAAGTCTGATTTGGCCGAGTGTTCTATCCACAAGGAATTGCCAGCTAGTCCTTCTAGAAGATGTTGATTCGTTGCCACATCAGCAGTCATGGCCCAAATATTGCCCACTAATCCAACCATGATTCCATAAAAATAGAAAAATTGTAGAATTTCGTCTTTTTAGCTTAGTTTCCAGAATTCAATGTTCTGCATGAAAAATAAGAGAAAACATCCAACTTAACAACATAAATCAACGAATCAATGAGTAATTAATAATAAAATAATAACAAAATTGATCATGCATCACTTAGATGGTGTAAAGGAATAAGGAAAGGTAAAACAAAAGAACTAGAAGCAATAAGAGTCAAAGAAAAAAAATGGAAAACCCAAACCCGAATATAACCTAAAACGCTGGATCAATTTGAGCAACATTTTTGAAGGGGTTATCGATCTCCAAAAACTCTGAATATTTTTGGATGCTCTTCAATGAGTGTAGTTGTGATTCTGGAAAATTCTGGAAAAATCTATCAATGGTAAGAACTCGAATATGCCAAACAAACATAAAATCAACTTGAGCAATGTTTATGAAGAGGTTTTTTTTCTCCAAAAATTATGATGTCTTCCAATATATTTCTGGAAAATTAAAGCCCCAAATTCTTTCTTGAAAATTTTATGAATATTCGTTAAGAACCAGTGCTCAAATCTACTGGACAATCTTGAACGATAGATCATAGGGGTCTATTGACGTCCGATTGATTTGGATTTTGGACTGTAGATTGATCTTAGGACAAAGTAAGTACCTATAAAAAATTAGCCCCAAATTCATTCGTTTACGATTTATGGATTTTTTTATTTTTTGGTTTTTCTCTTTTTTTTTTTGTTTTTTGTTTTTATTTTTTTCAATGAAAATTAGCAAACTAACAAGAAAAAATTAGAACTAAATTAAAATAATGCAAAAAGAACTTGAAAAATGATTTTTTGTGAACTATCCCTGTTGGGGTACTTTGGCGATTGATGCTTAGAGAACAAGTCAAATCTCTTTGATTCTTCCAAACAATCGTCTCAAATCTGATACCAATCGATATAGAAGCGTTAGCGGATGATGTGAACATTGCTCTCGTCGAGGGAACAAACTTAGGAAGGTTCTAGACTCGAAGAAGAAACGAAATGCTTTGAGTGGGTGCTTTGAGGGTGGTGGCAAGATTAGGGTTTTGAAGGGAGTTTAGTTGCTAGAAAATAGAAAAAAAGAGATGTGATTAAGAAAATAAAAACAAGGGTAATAAAATATAAGATGAATAAAGAAATAGAAAACAAGTGTAATAATCAAGAACAATGAATAAAATATGTAATAAAGGAAACAATAGATCTTCCCTTTTGAAGGTGGCGCCCAATGATGTAGTTGCTGGATTTTGATAGATGAATGCTAGTTGGAAATAGGAGGAAAAGATGAAGAATATGGTGAAGACGTAATTAAGATCGAATGGTCGAATTAAGTGAAAACCAAATTTGAAATTTTACCTTCGATAGTATGTATGATGTCGCAAACCCTAGGGTTTGTGCGTGGAGATGGCGTGGGGGTGTAGATAGAATAAGAATGATGATGAAAGATGGAAAATAGTTGGATATGTCTTATCGAACACTCCTAATTGCAATGAAAAGGCAAACTCGATAATATGACTCTAACCATCCCTCATAATCGCAATGAATAGGCAAACCATAGTGTGAAGATTTCTCTCTCAAGAACTCGGAAGAACTAAAGAAGAAGATTCTTCAAAGGAACAAGG